CGGAGCCCGGCGCCTGCTGGAGCCGCAGCCCTGCCCGTGCCAGCGAACGCGCCGCACCTCCAGGAATCGACACCGTGAGCGCTATGCCACGCCGGAGGCCGTCACGGCCCGCTCGGAACCTGCCCCGACGCGACAATTGTGGAGACACCACAGGCCGGAGGAGCGAAGAACAGTACAACGGTTGCACCATTATCTCGAGACTCCAGGCTCATTACCTACCCCTACTAAAGAACAAGGAACCGTCTGTCCTCACAGAATTAACCGACAGATCGTATTTAAGAGAAACACGAGCTGCGATGCCTGGTAACTTTGCAGAACTTGATAGAAACGTCTGGATTAGCAGATAAACCGCAAGGATGGTGATGTATTACAATGCTGCAAGACTTACAACGATATCATTACTGTGCTGTACTACAGTTATGATGGATAATTACAAATATGCATTACAAGGTAACTGGATGACTCCTATGACCCTGTGTAGGGTATAAAAGCCCCAAAGAAACTCCCCTTGAGCGTGCACAGTTCGGCTGGGATACCTCACACACATGAACAGGTATTTACCTTTGCACTTCTATATATTGCATCCTAGCCTCTCTCCCGGGTTGGCACAGGCCAGTTAAGAATGCCGTAATGCCAAGCAGCAGCCTTTTCCCCAGACACAGTCTTCCTGGATTCAAGTTTACACACATCAACTGTACAGTGCTATTAGGTGGGTTTATTTGGCAAAACCTACCTCGCTGACAGCATGCGGGCTGCTTTTTCAATGTTAATCAGAAGCCATACAGATAGCAAAACAACGTTTATTAAAGGCATAGGGGAAAATGCAAAAACATAAACCATTTTTTTTTTTAAGAGCTCCTACTTTAGGTATATAAAAAGTGAAACACTGCACAGTACATTTAACTGTGCCCGTAATACATTTAAACAGGACGTTTTGAGTCTATCCTGCCTCCTCCTAGAATTTAAAACAAGGAAAAGAAACAATGAAGATACCTTTTTATCACCTTACACAACTGCAACTAGAGGTGTCTACAAACACATAACATCTCCGAAGTTTTTTGTTTTATTTTTTTTAACACACCCTGCAGTAAGACAGTAAAGATTAAGTCACTGGAAGTCTTGCTGGATATTCTCCTTGTTTGCTTCCCCATGCTGCTGTTTGATTTGTGAAATTTCATTTTCTAGCTGCACAATAGTTCGTTCAATCTCATAATTTTTACTGACAAGAGACACCCATCTGGAAGGGAAAAGAAATAAAAAAGCCTTCAAGTGTTATTTAACAGTCCTCTGTTTTAAAATCGAAGACAATTATTGCTCTAAAGAAAGCACAAAGACATCAAATAAAGCAGTATTTTTCTCAGTACATGATAAACCTCCGTTGATATCAATAGTAATTTGAACAACCAAAATGATATCAAGTAGTTTTTAACCCTGTTAAACCTCAACATATAAAATTTATTTTACTAGACTCAAATCCACTAACTTCCAATATTTAGAATATTTAGAAGAGTTTAAGAAACAATTTAGATAGGCAATTTCAAGTAGCTAATATGCCCTCCTTTTCACATCTATTGCTCACTAATTCATTCAACCACAGTAACTACTATGTAGACCTGAATTACAAATCCTTTAAAACACCGTGCAAAGCAACAGTATTCATGCAGTAACATCTTACAATAGTACTGAAAGATCACTGATGCTCTGCATGGAAGAATTTCAAGGAAAAGATACACTTGTGGAAGATCTAACAGAAACATTCTAGATACTCACGTAGATTCCATTTCTCGTAGCTTAGCCCCAGCTGTGAGCTGCATGTTCTTTCGTTGCCAGTTCAGATCTTGAATGTTTTTCCTGGGGAGAAAAAGATCTATGGGGTTTTTTTGGTCTCCTTTCTTTAAAATTTTAAAAATTATCTGCTGCTAATTTCAAAATACACCCAATCCCTAGACATACTACCAGAAAACACTTATGTAGCTAGGACCATAACTACAACATATAGATGGACAATTCCCAGTACAGGGCTGCACAGAGAACTCTGAGATAAAAAAAATAATTTTAAAAAAACACACCCAAAACAACAGAAACACCACCAAAACCTCCACTCTGCTACAAGCAAAACTTCAAACATTCAAGCCTACTGCTCCTGGACAAGTGCAGAACAGAGAAAAATGTTCTGTTCTCTCTGAAAAAAGTCAGAAAAGCAAAGATGAATGGCTAATCATTCACAAAATTCAGTAATTCAGTGAAGCACCTAAGAACTGCAGAATACTTAAACTACTTTGGTCTCTAAGTATGCTTATACTTTGGTCTGCTAATGCTCATTCTGTTAGCCTCCTTGCCATTATGGTGTTCCTTTAGCCTTCCCAACTTGAGTTCCGCTTCTACCCTTTCCCACACTGATTCTGTCCAAGACAATAATTCCAACTAATCCAGACACACAGGTACTGAGAAAAGGTATGAATCATTATGCAACTTGCCTTCTACCTACGTCCCAGTATATAGTCCCATCTTCAGGCTGAAAATGACAGCAGTTCACCTAAATCTGAAAAGCTTTACTTGCCAAGTCCATAGCATGCTCTCTAAACAGTGAATTATGAAGGTGCATCATTTCAATATATTACAACCTCCATTCCCGAGCAATTCATCTCTGTAAATTCATTAAAGCATTCACTTTAAAATGATAGGCCAAACCTAACATCAGGGAACATGTCTTTGCTCAGACAACTGCACACTAAATAAAAGTAAAAAGAAAACATGACTGCATTTCAGAGAGGATTCCACCACAATCCCTTCTGTTCAAAGCAGAGGTTCAGACAAAACAAAATAAAACCAAACAAAAAAACCCAGAGAGTTTGAGTAGAACAGGCATTATGAATGTAAGTGCTTGGGGAGAGCTGGGTTGGATTTCTTAATTAGTGTTATTACCGGGTCTTTTTTCCTATGACCACAGCAGCAGCATATACACAAGCCTTTGTATAGTCTGGGGTGGGGGAAGAGGGTTTCAGTTTACTTCCAACTTCAGTCTGAAAGTATGAAAAAGAATGACTCACCTCAATTTCTGAAGCTCCTTCTGGGCTTGTTCTATCATATGTACCAGATGTCTAACAGTAGAATGCAAGCAAAGCATTAGGAAAACATACAATTGCTAGATCAGACACATTTAACCTGCAATTTAACTCTTCCGAGTTAAGGACACAATAAGCCACTTCAATACAAACACCAGACAAGTTGTTCTCAGTGCAGCCTGTGCTCTTCACTCCTGAAGGGAAGGACACAATGCCAAAACACTCCAATTTTAATGTATGCAGTTTTAAGACATAAACCTTCAATAATCACTGTGGTCAGTTCTTGCCATCAGACAGTATCATAAAATCATATCCATTAGCTGATCAAGTTTTATCTTCAAGCTTGTTACTGTATACTTGTGCTATTCTGACTAGAATGCTACTGTAACATCTCCCTACCTTATCACCTATCTTCTACTTTTAATTGTAAAATTACCTGTAACCAGTTTTTATTATTGTTTCCCTCATATAACATCGTCAGAGCACAAACAGTTGTTTTCACTTCCTGACATACGTGCAAGCTAATAGATCCTCTATCTGCCTCCCTTCTATACTAAGCTAAGCAACCCTTTGCCTTCTCTCAAAGACAAGTTTCATATTCCTTTTACTTACGCCTTTATCTAGGGCTAAGCTAACCTTTCTCAAAAGACGACATTTAACATTCTCTGACTGAAATAGCCCTGGTGCTTCCTGCAGCCATAGTGCCTACAACTTTTTTGGCTTTTGCAACAGCTTTATTAATAGTGGCTCCAGACAGAGCAGGATCAGTAGTAAGTCATCTTTATTTCCACTACAGAATCATCATTTCACAGGCTGTCATTAATCCCTTCAGTTATCCTCCATTAAACCCCATTAGCACAACTGCTACCCAAATAACTCACAAAATTCAAGATTGGGATGTATTGAAACACAGGCTATTTCTTGGGCACAGAGACAGCTCTTTCAGATTAGCCTCCTTTTCTTCCACATACAGCGCTCTCAAAGGGGCTCAGTTATTCCAGGGTATGTTCTAAAGATCCCCACTGGCCTTACACAGGGAAACACGAGACATAGAGAAATTGAAGTCAGAGCTTCAACTAGGCTCAGCAAAGCAGATAGCAAGGCCTTACTCGTTGTACACCTTCCAAGCGTTACAACCGTGTTGCGACATTAACTCCAGGTTCTCGATGCGGACTGCCTGGTGCTCCAGCTGCGCCATGGAATTGTTCACACACTCCTGCCACGCCGTGATATCGTTCTTCTGGCCGGAGGACGGGGCTGGCAGCTCGTACCTAGAACACGCCGCCCGCCCACCTCAGGAGAAGGCGCGGCGGGCACCGTTCACGCCGGCGCCGCGGC